ACCCGGAACCCACATAGCCACGACAAAGCATCTCGGATGCGGGTTCTATGCTGGTAGATTCTGAATAAACCACTGTACAGGTCGGCTCGAAAGACGAGGAGACCGGAAGAAAAAGGCAGCGAGCCTTGGAGCTGTCATTACATCGATATATTGCTAAATACATTAAAAATAAAAGACGACATGCATGAGGGAGACGAATTACAGTTGTAAAAGGTGCCGCCATGAAATCAACATGTGATACGTAGTGGCGCCGGATTTTGATTTCTTTGCTGTGAAAAATACTACACACAAAGGGTAAAAAAAGACAAGGAAAACTTATCCTACCAACTACCATGTTGGATGCCGAGCAGCGGCAACAACCCAAGCTATAAATCCGGACAGGAAAAAAAGCAGGCGATCCAGCAGAGCTCGCTAGATTTCATCTCCACTCGAGGCGGAGAGAAATTAAGAGTGATGGACGGCTGCCTATGGCGTTGCCATGTGGCCTCGGTCACGTGGGTTCGTGACGTAAGGGGTAAAAGAATCTTGAGTTCATGGGGCTTCCCCTGACCTGGATTCTATCTCTCCGTCACCGGCAGAATCGCTGATTAATGCCTACAGTTCAAAATAGTCATTTTGACTGACCGGAGTCTATGGTGGGTAATTGAACGTAGTGAATTGGTCTGTTGGCTCCAAAATTGGGGTCCAGAAAAAAGTGCAGAAAAATTTAGGCGAGAAAGTCTGGTGGCAAAAAGGTTAATATAATAAAGGATATACTGTAGAATACTTTATTTTCGCTTGGAATTAATTTTCACTATTTTCGCTGAAGGAATGTTTCAGTGAAAATAAAATCCAGCAAATATACTTTTTTTCCTATATTCCTACATGTATATTCATCATAATTTCAGTGAAAACACATAAAAACTGTTTTCCGAGAAAATTAATTCCAGTTAAAATAAAGTATTTTACAGTATTGTACAAAAAATCAGAGTAATACATTCACTGGAAGTTGAGTAGAGGTCAAAAGATTGATTTCATTCACTTTTATTTCTTGTAGGATAATATGAATTCACACATGCTGAGATAAATATCGAATACAGAGTCATACAGATTTGGTTACAATCTATCATAATATGTATAAACCTATAAATTCAGTTAAACATTCTGCTGAATAAACAAGCTTAAAATACATTCTTATCGAGCAAGCGGTAGTTATATCAATTGCTATGACGAAGGAATGTTTTACTCACCAAACTGTAATGATGAAATGCCACCCCAGGCTTCCATGAAATCTCCTTTCTCCAAAACTTTCAAATTAGCGGTGCACGGGGAATGATCTGAAACTATCATGTTGATATCACCAGATTTAAGAGCATCCCACAGTTTATCCTGCAGAAAAAAGATACAGAATTATTGTTGCATAATTACTGTATCTAAATAAATAATGAAATAATGGAAAATGGAAAATGCCCCAAAATAAGATAAGACTTTTTAGAAAAAGTCGTCCACTTTATTTACAAGTTGACCATTCAAAATTGGGCGTTGTTTTTCAGACAAAGATTATTTTTACTAAAATTCTCATGAAAAGACTATTTCAAAGTTTGTTTTTTTTTGAGTGAAAATATAGGTAAAAATATTAAAGGGTAACTCGTTTTAAACGTGGTCATCCAGGACAACTGGATAATCAATAATGTCGAGCAAGGTGTATGAAATATACTTCAAACCGATTTAATATTGCGAAAGTCAAATTGTGCGAATTTCGAGAGTTAGTGAAAATCATAAAATGTCAGTGGCTATCACAAAATATTGTTTTCATGAATGCCAAAAAAACCTTGAATTCACCTGTTGGTCATGTGATAAGGTAACCCCAAATCACTTATTGGTAGGGAATGTCAAATGTCAAGGGCTCTACAGTTGGTGAATACGACCCATGATATCACTAAATACACTCTCACCTGGTTGGCTTGTTCCCTGATTGGAGGACAGCATTTGTATTGAGTGGCACCTGATGGTATGGTTTCTGCAGCAAGTGTCAGATAATGGTGACACGTCTCCACTGACAATGGTGCTCCTTTCGCCCTGGCATCTCTGATGATTGGCAATGCCTCGGCTGATGACAGATGAACAATATGGCAAGGCACTCTGGGTAAGATCAGGAGAAATAAATTGTAGGAATTATGGGTAATTTGTTGCCAAAATTAACATTATTTCCTGTTACATTTATTTATTCAAAGATGACAAAGTTAAACTCAAGGGGTCATTAATTAGAAGACTCCGACAACGAATTGAAAAACGAGATTTTTGGAGGTCAAATTATCAAAAAGATTTCATTATTATTATTCTATTTTTCAATTATCTTATTTATTCAATACTTAATCTAATAAACTTTACCTGTATTGTAGACACACTTTAGCAACTAATTCAATAGCACTGTTTTCCATTGAACATGGCCTTGACTCTAAAAATGTTTTGTATTGAGTTGCATCCATGTTCGATACATCTGGTTCAGTGCCAGCCACTTCAGCATGGAACTAAATATGATAAGAATACTTGTAATTTAATATTACATCAAAGTTTACTTACAAAAATCATGACCAAATCATGAGTTTGGCCTTTAGTGTTAACTCCAATATGTCTGACTGTACTGTTTAAAGGGCTCATACCACTAATTGAAACTCCATAGACGACAATGTTAACATATGACGAGATTGCTATATGAAAATGATAAACAAAGTTGAAAACATGGCTCAAAATTGGGAAATCAACATGCCAGTAATCAACCACATGAAAAAAACTAACATGTTGGCCAGCTCAAACTCTTGCAAATCTCAGGTAAACAAGACAAACTGTATTTGAATTGCACCTAGAGAAATCACTGGAAAAAACACCAAGATTAGAACATCCAAATACACACAGAATAAACTCACAGGTACACAGCCACTAAGTAGTAAACAAAAGACCACATGATGGTCTCACCTTTGACCCAGATAATCACACCCTCAAACAGGGAGCACCTGAGAAAAAAAATATTAAAAAAATATCATTGGTTCTTGCACGGCATTTAAATTGAGCTACGAGCAGCCATTGGTTGATTAGTGGCATGAGACCTATTAAATGAGAATCCCCAGTCAATGTCACTGTTTTAGGTCAGCTTTACATGAACCCGGCCAACTTTGGACCAAGCTCTGATCAAATGCTGCCATCACATCGCATAGTTAAGTTTAAACGACCAATTCACAATCTTTTCTGTTGGTGCGTTCGTAGATGCCGGTGCACAAAGCCAGTCGACTTTCGGACAGGAGGAAGGCAAAGATGTGAAAGTATCTTGAAAACAGGTGCAACCAACTGCCACAGAGTGCCCAACCACGTGTAATCACCAGACAATGACCAAAACGTCCAGCTGCTGTTCAAAGCAAAATCTACCACAGTACTGAACTTCAAACCACATGACTGCTCTATTTATACTCAGAGAACTCCCTAAGTGTAGCAAATATCATAATATGGCTCAAATTGTCAGTGCATATGCAAATCAGATGAACTTAAGAAAGAACAATGACTAGTGAATAAATATATATAAACTCGAAAATACATTTCTACAAGATCAAATATTGAAATATCGTCACACTACTCATGCTTATGCACGTAATCATTCCATATTTGGAATTTGCATTTCCTTATATGGTAGGATGAAAATACCCTGTAAAATACCGCAAAATTATGGCACGCTGTAACTTGTAACTTATGGCGTTAAGGTGACAGATGTAATGCAATGTAGCGTGGTGTGGCGTGGCGTGGTGTGGTGTGGCGTGGCGTGGCATGGCATGGCGTGGCGTGGCGTGGCGTGGCATGGTGTGGTGTGGTGTGGCGTGGCGTGGCGTGGCGTGGCGTGGCGTGGTGTGGCGTGGCGTGGTGTGGTGTGGTGTGGCATGGCGTGGTGGTGTGGTGTGGCGTGGTGTGGCGTGGCGTGGTGTGGCGTGGCGTGGCGTGGTGTGGTGTGGTGTGGTGTGGCGTGGTGTGGTGTGGCGCGGTGTGGTGTGGCGTGGCGTGACGTGTTGTGGTGTGGTGTGGCGTGGCGTGACGTGGCGTGACTTGACATAACATAACATAACATAACACCAGTAACAATTCTTGATCTAAGTTTCGAAGCATTACATTATAACCAAAATAGAATCAGGATTAAGTCTATAGTCGGGTTCAACTTTTCAAATATTAAGTTTACAATTTGATTTCAAAAACTAGAAGAACCAATTTTTCAATTTTATAACAATTCAGGTGCAGGAATTTAAACAAGAGGGAACCAACTGTTAAACAGAAAACAACTCTATGATCTGGTGTACATATCACATTAATTAATCTTAACTGAAAAAATTACACATTTATTATGAAAAACATATGTGCATTTGCTACTAATAAAGAAAATAAACTCAGTGAGATATCTAATTGGTGACATGTAATTTTTAATAAGGTAAAAACAAATTGTGTGGTTCCAATATCATGTAAACAAGTAGGGTAGGTTGGATTATATTTTTTTTCTTTCATCAGATATCATTTTCTTAACGAAACCCATGTTTAATGACGTTTACAATAAAGCCTCTCTGATTTGGCCAAAATTCTGTATAATAAATTTCAGAAATAATACACTTACATTTAATCTTCATTATACCATTTTTTTTTATGTTTGTTATGTTTGGGCACGTTTTTTTATTTCCTCTAATGGTATATAAAATAGGTGGTCGTCGCGACATGTCATGTTCGTTATAGGACTCATAGCAACGACCACTGCATTTTAAGCAAGGGAGTTGTCACCTGCGCATGCGCCAGATGGCCATAACATGTTATTATTTACAAACAAGCATCTACCCATGAGCCTTTGCATTTTTAGCGTGTGTTGCTCTCGCCGCTTGGGACTCAATTCCAGCACGTACGCAGGTGACGACGCTCTCGCTTTAAGCATGTCGTTTTTATTTTTGGGGGACTATTTAGGTACTCACCAGTAAAACACTGTCATACCCTGTAGCTGTGTCATTGCATCATGTAAGTCATCTTCACTGACATGTGGAAACTCATCCACACCACTGAAGATCAGGAAACATTTGAATCCAGAAATTCCAGCCTTGATCATCGGCTTCAACTCAAACTGGACAACAAAAAATGGAAGAAAAACAAATTAATCAAATGTGATGTGAGTGGTATCATATTATTTCTATTAGTTAATTTTATTGATATTATATTTAGGTACATGTATTACTGAGAGACGCCCAAAATAATACAATCACAGACAGTACACATATATATATATGCCGATACTGCTCAATTCTCATAGCAACTAACATACTTATTTTCATTTATTTCATAGTGCCACAGTTGATGTGGGTCCCATGCAACAGAAAAACATTGTTTACAATTTGAATACGTACTACAAGAAGACTTTTATCATAAAACTGAAACAATTAAGTAATAATATTGACACATTGCAAGATGTTTGTTTCAACTAACACAACATGAGTTCACAGTTGTTGATAGTTCACAGATAAATGCAGCTCAAATCCATGCAATGTTAGAATAAAATTTTTTTGACAGAAAATGCTTTTCCTAAGAGGGAATTTCTTCAGAATGAGACACTCTGGTGAACACCTGTATATATACATAAGTATTCCAATTGCCTACCTGATTACCGGGTATAACACCACCCCAGAATGCAACATCTACATGACATTGACCTTTAGCATGCTGCAATTTGGTACTAAACGCATCCATGGTAACAGTAGATGGAATACTGTTCCTGAATAATTAATGTGAAGTAAAGTATTTTAATTTTAAATATAAATCTCCCGTAACTTCAAGAGAGGCAAATTTTGAGAGCCAGTGTGAATCACGAAAATTGTTAGCAGTGAAAATTAATCTGTTTACAGTATTCTACAGCTTCTGTCGTTCCAGCTGGTAGCTTAAAATATAGGTATCCATGACAACTATACTGTCAAATTCTAATGATTTCAGAGCTTTCAAGAAGTTGAAATTTCACAAAACTGCCCATAATTACATGTCATGATCTCACTGCTACAGAATTCTATTATTAATCAGCACAATCTCACGATCAGCTGTGACAACTAACATCGTCACAAATTGTTTTATTACCAGGAATTGACACATACATGTATATGAGGTTATTACGAGAATACCTTAAAGTCTGCACGAAGACAGTACAGCAAGAGTATTCCTGTAATAGCCTTATTATTATACATCTTTTCCTTCCAAGGATACATCATGGGAATGGCGAAATCCAAAACGTTTAGAAAAGAATCAGCTAACTTTTTTGTGTGAAGTTCGGTCAAACCCTGATGGCATTAGGTTTGTTTTTAATATTAGAGCACGCTTACGCGCATAATCATTCCATATTTGGAATTCACGTTTCCTTATATGGTAGGATGAAAATACCCTGTAAAATACCACATAATTACGGCACGCTTTAACTTATGGCGTTACGGTGACAGATGTATAATTATATTTATTAACAGCAGAGAATTACCTTATATGGCAAATGACTGTTTCTTTCCGACCAGTCACTAAGTATGCACACTCGCAAAACGTACGACATCCTATTTATTTATTACATTAATCTTAAAGCTCAATCTGTGATTGATTAACTTAAATATAATTAAAGGTTAGATTTTGCGAATAATTAACTGCTATGCTTACAATGGCATGTCAACTATAGTAGTGATTCCTCCAGCAGCCGCAGCTCTGGTTGCTGTTTCGTAGCCTTCCCAATCGGTCCTACCAGGTTCGTTAACATGAACATGGCTGTCAACGATACCTGGCATCACCAGCAAATCACCGGCATCAATCACCTGCAATAAATGACAAGAAAAACATATAACCAACAAAAGACTGAACTCGCGTATAACATTGTCATAGGCTAAACTGAGATGTAGCATTTGTTGAACCATATATCAGCTATTCAATGAAAAACACAGACGAGGAAGTAGTGGAAGCAAAGTTTGAAATCCTAATTGAGAAAATGATATTACATGTGCTAGACGTGGCACAAAATTTTACATGGAGGGCGATATCTGCTCACCATCCCTCGTGATGAAGGGACGAGTGGTCGTGCCTTTGGCTCACCCTCACTTGAGGGTCCTGGGGCATGGTCCCCTGGAAAAAAATTTAAATTTAGACCCTCTAAAACGCTATTTCCTGCATTTTGAGGGCAAATTTTGCTGACACAAAGGGTTTCATCTTGATTTGGGAGGGATTTATCAAATAATGTTTGACGACCTACT